TGATCTTTAAGATTGTTAATTAGTTGCAGGCATGTAAATGAGGGTCTTGACAGGCCCCGCCCCTCTCCTGAAACAGCCACGCCCTCCAGCGTTTCACGTCATTCGGTACTGAGCTGCTGACATTCTCAGGTAATCTGCTGCCCTTTCTTTGTCTTCCGTCAGAAGGGTGTGCTGGACTTATTCAGGACATGATCACCACGATGCTATTCTCAGTCCACGGAAGCTGTTCTGAATAAAATGTCACATTACACGCATAACTTGCTTTCCTCAAAAAAGTGTCTGAAACAGCCACCGGGATTGCAGGAAAAGCTGGGTTTTTTTAGCGCTTTGTTTCCCCGTTTTGATTGCTTGTTGATTTATGTGCTCCGGCGGCCCGCTCCTTCATCCGAATGAATGACGCTGACAGGCATCTTTCAGAATAAATAACAGTGTCTTTTTTTGGCGCTACTCATCAGCAGCGGTAGGAAGACAACACTGCTGCTGACCAGTAGCCCTGGCAGACATGCATGACATCAGAGAAAAGCAGCACTAGTTACAGAACGAGATCTGGTGATCTATACACATCCCACAGAGCCCCCTCCACTACATATAGACTAAAGATGCAATCCATTATACACACAGACTAATGGCAAAATGCTCTATATATGTATACATACTAAAAGTCCAATCCACTACATATACAGTATACACACTACAATGTCCTGTACACTATATACACACACTACAGGTACAATACACTACATACACACATTAAAGGTCCAATCCACTGTATATACACTACAAAGTCCAGTTCACCCTACAGTGTGTCTATAATGCACAAAAAACAATGCAAATGACCAAATTCCTATCAGACTTTTAACTATGTAACTCTGCAATTGTAAGTTGTACTTTGATTTGCTTAGTATTACACAATACTAAGGTAATCAAAATGATTGTTCTCTTTTGCAAGTCTCCATGAAGCATGTAACGATGTTTTTTTTTTTTTTTTTTAACCCAGAGCCACAAGCTTGAAAGTACACGTCCAAATGTAAATAACAGAGTGAATTACACAACAAATGAAACTCCAAAGGAATTACAGGGAACAACTGGATATGAAGACTGTAATTAGATGCAGAGTATAAAATCTCAGTGGGTAGTTCTGCCACCTCGGCTTAAATGAGGACTGGTCAAGTCATGTAACACTGGCTCAATGGCTCTCTCACGTGTCAGGGTGGGGGCGTTGGGGGGGGCAAAGATACCCAGGCAAACTCAGGAGGCCCAGCACTTCATAGGGCCTCCGAATACGAACAATTACAACTTACAGGCTCAGGAAACAGCATACCTCCTCTCTGCAAATTCTACAGTGGGGGACCCCCCCAGCTCAGCAAACTGTACTGTGGGAGACTCCCTTGCCCATGGGCATGAATTATGGGAGGGGGGGGGGGGTTGTAACCCCCCCAATAATCAAAACCAGCCAGTACAACCCCCTGGACCCCCTTAAATGTGTGGAGACCCCCCCCCCTCAGTTCTCAACCCAAAGTTATGCCCTAGCTCTGGCCCCAAGTCGACAATCTCTCAGGAGTCCCAGAATATCTGCATCAGGGTGATGACGCTAAACCATCTTTGCATACTATGAAATACTGCTTCATTCACATTTTGCCCTAAATACATGCTGTGAATGCTGATCTGATGAAAGTAAATGCCAAATCACTAACACTGCCCGGCACTACTCAACACGCCTTTAAGTGCCCAGTATAGGTATAAAATGGCAAAGCAATCTAACGAGTCTGGAGGCTCATTTATTTGTGCTAACGCAACGATTCTCCGGCCCTCCATCCGCTGCCAGGCCACAGAGCTCTCAGCTACCTTTAAGCCTCCAACAGCCCTGGTACTAAGAGAAAGGCTAAATTGGCTCAACTGGCGTGATAATTAGTTCAATCGGGTGAATAAGCACTCTGGCGGACTGAAAGCACACATACACACCATGACCAAACAGGACTGTGGTTTATGGGAGAGGCAGGGAACTCCTTTGCTCCTGCAAATTAATGTGTCAGACTTAACTAAAGGTGTATGCTAAAACTATGGGTTTTATTTGTTTCAAATCAAACTTGTGATTCAAGAATACATGTAATGGTACAAAGTTCAATAAAGATACAAATGTGGAGGTTTATGTATAGTCTTTGCTTTGTAAGGCATACTGTGTACTTTCGTTTATCTTCCAACCGCTTATCCCAGTCAGGGTTACAAGGACTACAATGTATTTATTCCATTACATTACGAACGACTCATTTATGCCTTTTACCTCATTAAAAAATTAGGCTAATTCCAAAGCAAATGTATTTCACTCTGTTTAGTTTTCACTAGGAAAGAAGAATAAGAAAAATATTTTAATAGGACACATAAAACTGTGGCAGGCCATTTAAAAAGACCTACAGACGGCTATTTTTTCCAAATTGAAAAAAAAAAAACCTTCCATGATATATTTGGTTTCTGCATAATTTATGCAAATATATTCAGGCATCAACTCCATCAGATCTAGTGAATTTGTGAATTTAGACCTTAGCAGGTACCATAAGGTTCACGCCCTCTAACCCGAGGGCCGTGATGCACACCGTCCCCCTACTGCAGGCATCCATCGATCCCTCTCCTACTCCACACATCCATGTAAGTGAAAGGAGTAGTAATGGCCTAATTTAATGCAAATGAAATCACACGTAATATCCTTGCTCATTTATCTTTTTTTCTGTCAGTGAATCTTTTTTTTTTCGCAACGAAACAAGTACGAATTAACCATTTCCAAGTACCGCCCGTAACGTACCAGCAAATCGGTCCAGCCATCCGGGTGACCTGCGGGTAACAGGAAAAATATTAACTATTTAAAATTTTAAAAAGAGCAAATTGGGGCGATTCCTCAATGTCACGTGTGTTGTAATGAAGGTGAGAAGCAACAGCCGACCCCATTGTCGTTTAAAGTGTAAAGACAATCAAGCCGATTTCTGGTTCCTTTTTTTTAATTTGCCAATTTATAGAAAGTGAACGGACGTGAAAAGCACAGCATATTTTTCTTTTCTGCCGTAGCCCTTTTAAATCTGGCGTTCAGATGAATAACCTAATATACCGCGAACGGCACTGACACTATCGTGTTTTTTAAATAAACCATTCATATTATGTGTTGCCTCGTAGGTCAATAACATTTGACAATAAAGTAATTGTTCTCCATACAGTTTTTAAAACAGGTCATGTCAATTATAATTGAATGTACTTGCGTACACGATCCAGTAAGGTATATACACACGAAAAGGTATATTTCATATTCACATTTAATACGAACCGTGCTTCTGCAGCGATCGTGTCTCAATTTGTATTTTTGCTACCGCGGCATAATAGACCTTCAGTCTGTCTTTTGTAAGAAAATAAAAACCTTCATTAGATGGGATTACAGCGCAGTCACATTGCATTAATGTACATATTCCGGCTTTACCAAGAAATCAGGTCAATTTCATTGCCGCGTACTGAACGAGAAAAATAAGTACTGACTCCTGATGCATGCATAAAATAAAAGGCATAGTATATCCGGCGAACTCAAGAATAAATATTTCAGTGTCATATTTCTTGTAAAGAATTTTAAAAAGACTCCGCCAACTAGGATTAAGTGGATAATTTCGCAAAGCAAGTAACCTAAGCTTATTGTATATTTTACTAACCTGCGATGACCAGTTCAATTAATGGATCTCCGCGTCCACGTACAAAGTACTGTAGCAGAAGCGCCGTGAACGCGCACGCCTCCTTCTCCGCTAGTAGAGGTTTTTACAATACACATTGTATCGGTAATACATTTCGGATTTTCAAACGTTTTCCCAAAATACTTACACAACCATCTACTTTTGCCTTTAACTATTTGCATCCGCTCGTTCTAATTGGACAACCCGCTGCGCAAGTTCTATCCTTTGATTTTAAAAATGTGCCCATCGAACGACTACACACAAGAGTACTCAAAAAAGACTGAAAATTGGTTGTTGCTACATAGTTCATCTATCAAATGTGCCAATGCGAGCTATTATATAACTTGGTAGTTGCAAAAAACAATGGCTTAAATGTGAAAATGCGATACAAAACACGGCGTGTCTGGTAATGGCACTGAAATATGAACTGAAACTGAAAAAATGAAAAGGATGCTTTGTTTTCTTCCATTGCATTAAAGAACACGCCATCCAGGTTTCAGATTTCACAAAGCCATCTTCCAAAATGTTTTTTTTCTTTGCTGTTGGATAATTCTACCTCCTGCTCCCCTTTCACTAGTTCGCTAGCAACTGTAAAAATAACATGAAAGAACACAGTCGCATACTGAGGCTTGGTTGGTGCTGCTGTATGCTTACATTTAATTGTGTTGTCATATATACATTTTCTTGCATTGTTTGCACTTCGGTTGTCATTAACAGTGATTATCGCTAAATCCAACGTTATGCCAGCATTATTGCAGAAATGCCTTGTACTAAACAGTACTAAATACACTTATCATAGCCCCATAGCGATGCGGTACGCTTTCTTACTGGCTAGATAGCTTCGTTAGCAACTACGGGCTAATCATAATTAGGAGGCGCTAAACCTAGAATACAGATGTGAGGAACCCCTTCCCCCGCAAATACGTACGATCATTCTGAACGTGAAAAGGTACATAAGTGGGTACTTTTCGATGAGGGGAAATTGCTAGTTGCTAAGCTTGCAGCTTGCTAAACAAGAAAAAAAACTTCATCAAATAATTAGTTCTGCGACAAAGAGAACCGCGCTAATGTCATAATTTCTCGCTCGCCGCCCGGGGCACATTCAATCTATACATTAAATCATGGTTTGTATTCCCGCGTATATTTCCAGGTATGTGTCCAAAATACCTAGGTAATTAAATCCACCAAGGACATAAAACTTCATTCGACAGAAAAAGAGGGACAACTTCGCTCCTATTTCGCCGCTATTTCCAATAATATATTACTAGAGACAGTGGATCGCTTCGCAGAAGGCTGTACCTGAGACTTTCTCTTTTCTCTTGGTGCTTTTATATTCTTGCCATCTCGCACAACTTGAAAAAAAAACCTCGATCGCCGTTGTCCTCTCCTGTTCAGATATCCGACCCCATCCCACACCGTTGTATTGTCAATACTAGAATAATATGAACCTCGCTCGGGATAACAGAAATGGATCAAGTCACAATCCCCGTCTAAGAAGGGACCAAAAAGGTGTGAGGTGAAAGAAAAAACATTAAAGTGGTAATGTTGCTCATTGACTTGCAGCTAGGAATTTGACATTATATTGATACAATACAGGCTTCGTAAAGGAAATATTACTTTTTTCACGGTTGCAAAATATTTGTCATTTTTGTTTATGTATTAACCTCTCATTCTTCATGATGGTACATACCACGCTTTATTGTTGGAGAACTGCCCAGCACAACCCAACCAAAACCAGACGCATCGCCCCCTAATTGCATAACGTGTTCTGATTGGACAAGTTCCGGATAGAGACGCCCATATAGACATGCTTATCCAATCCCAGATGAAGAGGCGTTGAACACTAGATGTTGTAGGTGTATATTGTGATTATTGTTATTAACAGAATTACATTAAAATTAAATAAATAAAAAGCAAACCCATGGACCTTTGATTGATCCCATCGCAATACATAGGAACAATACCTAAATTTGTGGTGGTACATATATTGTCTGACAAGTACTTTTCGTGTGTATATACATGCATTGCTTACAGTATCACTATGGTACACTATATTTAGCACATTATTCACGGTAACATACTATTTATAATACAGCATTCTATTAGTGCCTAATTTATAAAAAAATATATTTTCTACTTAGTGTCAATGTCCGAGTTATAATTATAACGTCTGTTAATTGTTCTCATTGCACAATCGCGCATTTTGCACAATTGTTTATTTATTTGTATAATGTTAGTTTCTTTGTATTAGACTTAGACTTGACTTTATTGATAACATTGGCAGCAGGTATACAGATATAAAAAGGGGGAAAAACAGTTACAGTAAGGAAAGAGGTACATGCAAAATGCATGGAATAAAATAAATAGCTACTAAAAAGAATATCGACAATTTAGGACAGCTATATACAATAAATTTCAATATTGTGTAATTTTGACAATAAAGTAATTGTAAAACGGAAAAAGACAATGCTATGATGGTGTAGACCTAAATGTTATATTGTACGCCCATACTAAACAGTGGGCATTATGAATATTAAGTGGATCAGGTACATTGGATATATTGATATGTACATATAACAGAAGTGCAGGAGAATCTGTGCAAAAAGGCAGAAAGTGCAGACAGTGTATTATAATATTACGTAGTATTACATATTGATACTACATACTATACCAAGGCCTAGTGTTTGATATGTTAAACAGGAGACTATAGCAGTTGGTATGAAGGACCCCCCGAAGCGCTCAGTGTTGCATTTGGGGAACAAGAAACACAACTGTGAGTACTTCTCCTCCTTGTTAGAATTTAGTGATCAGTGGTTATTGTTGACACACCACAGCAAAATGTGTCCTTTGCATTTAACCCATATATGACATAGTAGGGGACAGCTAATTCAGCACCTGGGGAGCGGTACCTTGCTGAGGGTGTCTCAGTGGTGTCTTGCTGGTCAGGGATTCAAACCTTAAATCTTTCAATTACAAGTGCACTTCCCTAACCATTAAGCCACCACTGCCACAAATACCTCTTCTATGTCCTCTCACAGAGGAATCGCCCCCTTAACTGAGCTCTGCTCCCCCACTCCAGTTTGCGACTCTGTTAGTTCCCCTACTGAGAGGATGAGCCTCGTTTTCCACGATGAAGAGCAATTTGTCCCCACTTCCTCTGAATCACAACCTCCAGCGATTCCAGTGGAAGATCAAAGATGGAACTGACCTTCTTTATTATCCTATTCAGCCAAGTTTCCTCCTTTTTATGTCGACTCCCCAGCAAGAAACAGCACATGTCAGGATGCTGGACACTGGTTTAACATGTATAGCGGTTTGCTAAGTGAATTTCATGCAGAGTATCAGGTATGGCTGAAAGTCTTAGCACTGAAATGCACTTGTTGTACATGTGCAATAAAATATTTGAACCTTGAATAATATACATACACATATACATTACGTAACATGATGCAATTGTCTGGTATTTTAGGTTTAGATTCATTCATTATTTTTATGATGGACATTTAAGATGGTTTGCGAAACGAATAAATGTAATTTGTTTTACCGCCAGTCTCTATCAATATACAACGATGATCGATAAGAATAACGATTATACGAGTCTACCACCTGGAAAAGAGAGAACATTGTATTTTCTCTTCGCGCTTTTTCCTAAATGGCTTGTATGTCCTCGGTGAGCTGTTCAGGTCAATCACAGTTGAGTGCGCGTTGTGGGCCAAGTCAAAAGTATTTTCCGCCAACAATGTCCTAAAAGGTACATATAAATTTCCGAGATACAGCCTAAGCGTTTATTTGAATGAACACATATAATTAAAATTATATATAGATGATACTTGACTTTATAATATTGACTACTCTGGGAAAACTTTTATATTAGCATTGATATTTGTAGGATACTATTTAACTTCATCGTCAACTGTTAGGACTTTCCTTGCCGGATATTTACTCAATTCAAGATGTCGGCCGTCGTGGGTTCGCTTGTGTCTTATGAGACTGATTCTGATTCGGATAATGAGACGCAGTCTAACACCAGTCCTGAAAAATTAGACCCCGATGCAATAGCTCACCTTCTTCCTTTAAAATGTGGGAAAAATACTTCGTTAGCCCTCCTAAATGCAGCACCCGAGGTCGCAGTAAAGGTAAGATGCTACGCAGACCTCGCTCAGTTTGTTATGAAATCGGCTAACGTTAACTAATTATCGTCGAAGTTAAAATATTACTAGGGCTTCCGACAGTATCACAGAAGCGTTTAACCAATATGTGTGTTGAAGTGGCATCTGAATTTATCGGAGTGTTTCTGTAATTGTTTGTATGCTGTCTTATGTCTACGCCGATATAGGCTTGTTAGACGACTGTGGGTAACTGCGTGATGTGGTCGGGATGCGTTTGTTTTGTTACTTATGTAGTTTTCCTACAAATTATGATTAAATACGCGATTCTACAATTATTACGCCAAATGAACGACTGTTTATCAGTTTTAGCTAGCTAAACGTTATTATCTGAAGTAGCGAAGCAGTTAAAAGAGCTTAAAACTATTGTGCTTATCCACAAACTACTAGCTGTAAGCAGTCAGGTTTTTAAGTCACACGTTTCCCTCGATGAATCAAGAGATATGTCGAAGTACTTTAATCACGCCCTGATAACTTTACTTTTATTACAGGAGGACGTTTTGACAGGAACTCATCTGGATCCTTCCCTTAAGGAGGTCAACTATAACCCGACATACGAAACCATGTTTGCCCCAGAGGTAAGCATTTTTGTGGTCCACAAAGGTCCGTTATTCACCTCTCTAGAGAGGGGAGATTGACATCACGTTGCAATCCCAGCACTTTGAGTATGTTCTAATAGAGTTGTGTAAGACTGTTTACTGTTAAAAGAACTGTGTTGCATGTCCATTACACTGGCACTGGCAGTCTGGTTAAGCAGACTTTATTTTTATTCCAGTTTGGTCCAGTCAACCCATTTAAAACTCAGCAGATGGCAGCCCCCAGGAACATGTTGTCTGGGTATGCAGAACCAGCACACGTTAATGACTTCATGTTTGAGCAGCAAAGGAGAACCTTCTCCACCTTCGGTATGTCATTTGGACGACATCTCCTTTTTGACTGTCAGAGAATGATGTCTTTATAGCGCCGGTTGCTCATTGGTTTAATTTGATTTCATCCTTTTGCTTTGGGGATTCATGTGGATGAATGTGCCGAATCACATAGGAATACACTTGCTACTTGCTTTGTTTTAGAAGAGCTAATCTTCACAAAGTCTACCTTATTGATCTAAAAAGTACACTCATGAAATTTGAGCTAGATATGTGTGGGTCGGTTGGGTTTTGCATAAGCCCTGTTATTTTTTTCCCATTTATTTTTAATTTTTTTTATGTAATGCAAGGTTTTATGGGAGCATATCTGTGGAATTATAGCAGAAACGAAAATAGCCCCAGTGTGCTTAAAGGTTTCTGTTGGTGGAACTCAATGTGCAGAAAAAAACTGAAGTATTCTGAATAAGAGGCATGTTTTGTTTCCAAGGGTACGCGCTCGATCCATCTGTGGACAACAGCCAAGCTTCATCCAGCAGTTACATTGGTGCTGTTGAGGAAGCTGAGAAAAACAAAGGTACTTCATTCCAGCAGGAAAAGCAACGTTTCTCCAGTAGATATTTTCAGCATTAATGCTCATACTTTAAGTAACAGTACTGTAATGTATGGTGACAGGTCCTGCACTGGAAGCTTCTCACCTTTCGGCCAGCAGGGGGCCTCATATAGGTTCTCGGTCCTTTGTGATGTCACGCACACGTTCTCTCTTCCCCAGGCATAACAGTATTTGAGTCAGGTGCTAAAAAGGGAGAAAAGAGGAGGAAAGTCAAAGGTGGTGATGCGTCAGAAATCGATGGTTTCCTTGGGCCGTGGGCAAAATACATGGACGAGAAGGATGTAGCCAAGCCATCAGAGGTGAGTGCCTTTTTCTGTAAGCTCCGCCCTTTCCTCCAGCACTGTCTCCTTCATTCTCTCGGGATTGCTTTTCGGGTAAAAGGAATGAGGAGGCAGGAGCAGGAAATGGACGTCCAATTAGAGAGGCGTTCGCTATGAAGGATTCTAAAATACGAGGCAGTCGGGTTAGTCTTTATTGATTGCTTGTTTGAAGTCATTTATGAAAAATGACAACTTGCCTGTATCTTACATAAAAACAGGGCATTGCTGGTTGCCACCAAAGCAGCACATTTTGCACTATAGTTGCTTTTTCAGTCTAGGCTGCATCAAATGGGTGTTTGTTATAAGTATATGAATATGAATGACCACGCAGTGCTGCATTCCGGATTATGTTGTGACCATGGTGTGTTGAATAAGCGTCTGGGCCTTTGTTGAGCATTCCTGCTCCATTACATGAGTAGGTGTACAGGCAGTGATCTATTATTTCCCGTGTTACCAGCTGCTACTGTCTGAAGCGCATGTATTGGCCGCACGTTAGATCTTCAGGCAAAGGCTTTTGTTCTTTTTAAATGATTTCTGCTAAGGATTTGTAACCCAGTCTAACCGAGTCTTTTAACAGGCAGCCGTGATCCATAATCGCCTTTTAAAATGTGTCGCTGCCTCTCGTAGCTTGAGCGTGTCGTTCCGAAAGGTCCTCGTTAATTTGCAGGTTCCTGGAGTGCCGAGTGACATTTATGTTAGCCCAACGGG